ATAACTTAAAAATTATAATATAGGTACCTACTATTGTTTTGAACATTTCCTATGTCGTACGTGTGTAAAACGGAGACAACACATGCGGGTTAGACGTCCTCTTAATAAGAAAACTATAGGTATACTTATAGGTACCTATATAGCCATGTATAAGTAGGTACTCACTATGACACTACTCACTACTCAAATACTATAATTATACGAGTATTTATATTGTATTTTTCTATAAACTCTTAATTAGTTTATTATTGTAATAATATGTCCTTCTAGCAATACCCACCTAGTACCCACCCACCCATATTTAAGGTGTTGCTTGAACAACACTTGGACCCTAGGTTACACGCCACTGACGTAGACGATTATCAGGGAGGGTATATATGCAACATATTATCCCCTTAGTTATTTCAAACCGAGTGGGTGTCGATATTTCTATAAAATCCCATTAAATTAATGAGTAGTGGTTCGCTAATCTCATACATACCGGTCTAATGGACATGGTTGTTGGACTAATAGGAATATAATTTTCTAAGTTATAGTTTACATACCATGGAAATGTATGACTTCTTTCATAAACAACACAATATAGTAATTTACACTCAGATATTTTGTTTAATATCTGAAATTTTAATTAAATAATACAATACCTGAGTAATCCTGTATTCCTGTTCTTGACAGTTGCATTTGTGAAGATCACGAGAGTAGAGGAATACGAACTGAATGATACAATTTATTAATATACGATGGCTAAAATATTGTGATTCATTTATGAGGTAAGTTATTCTACTTAAATTAAATGGATTTAAAATATTATGTAAAACGTGTAGAGTTGACTGTTGTTAGTCTCTACTTCGCGATCAGAACCCACAACACTAACTAAATATACAATATTATACGTTCGTACTCAACGTATCTGTGTTCTGTTAACCTAAGCAATTCACCGAGTGCTACATAAATGATGAGTCAGTAATCGGTAAATCGCCACAGTGCTTGGTAATGACTTAAATGACTGAAAGGTCTGACGATTCGGATTATGTTGAAGTTTTGAGTAAAACCTTTTGTAGTTATTTAAACATTTTTTTTCTTCATAAAATGCATTTAATGGTGGGTGGCCCTATGCTGTTATTAATTTTATACTTTTACAAGTTATAACAAGGTGATCATTGAATAACCATTCATCAATGAACTTAACACATAATCATTAATAATAATATGTTTGGTATCTAAAATAATCAGAATAGACAGATTTCTCCGGCTTATACTAAAACATAATTTCATATTTAAGTCAGTTATTTTCCTTTTTAATAGTTATACATATTTTATCACGGATTCCTTTGAAAGTCTGAACATAGTATCGATATTATAGCGACACGGATTGTTTAATCTAATTATTTTCACAATAATAATTATTAATGGTTTCGGAAGTATATAATATAATCATGAGATAAGTTAACTATAATAAGATAACTTATTGGCCAAAAAACAGTTCATTCTTCAATATTTTTATCTCTATACATATATCTGTAATAGCTGTCTTGTATTCGGTGTTGCCCGTGCCAATTGATTATTAGTTATTGTAATTAGATATTTTGTTTTTGGTTAATTGTATTGGACACAATGGGGTCATTATGGGTAGCTGCGTAAAGTTGGCCATCCTTAAATGGTTTTTAGCTTATAATATTTTAATGACATTGGAGAATTATCAAAATTATTTTGCAATTTTTCACTCACTAATATTTTTACGAATATTTACTACGCTATAATAAAACGTATAAACGTATATCGATAATAGATGAAAAATAATAAAATCTAATACGTGGGAACGTAACTATAGTAAAGCATTAATTCTACTGAGTACATTATTTTTACCTACCCATCCATAATCCAAAACTCTTAAGCGGTTCAAATGCACGATGCACACATTTAAGTGTGTACATAGCGCCACTGTGTGTGTTTCACTGTTTACATTACGATGACGATGACGATTTTGATAGATGAGATAATATTATTATATGTTTTAGTGGGTGTGGTTTCTTAGCAACACGTTGGGTCAATGACTGAAATTGTATTATATAATATAACGTTTATTCACACGATCACATAGTGTATATTGGCTGGTACCATTGACGCTCTTGTTCCGTCCGCTTTATAGCATGGTACATATTTTGCTTGATGGCGTCGCTATCGCAGACAATTGCACAGCATTGAGTCGGTAAAATGTCCAACCCAGAGAACAAGRAACTGAAACAACTCAATAATAACATCAAAAGTAGTAATAATAAAAATAATAATGTTAAGCCACAGCAACAGCAGCAGCAGGAAAGGAGGAAGAATAAAAAGATAGACAAGGTTCAATGTGACGGCAGATTGTAAGTAAAAAAAGGAAAATGTTGTGAAATTTATAGTTAATAATAAAATAGAGTTATGTTTTTATTTTTTACCATTATTGACATCATATAAATTTTTTTTTTCATCCCAGGAAAATTGTAATAAATAGAGAAAATGAATTGCGAGCCAGATGGCCGGAACGGTGGGGATTTTATTCGAAAAATAACGTGGAAAAAGTATGTGGTCTATACTAATAATTTCATCGATTATGTTTTGATTCGTATTTTAGATTTTGAACAGAGTGATAACTGTAGTATTGGTTTTACATTGATGTGTGTGTGTGTTTTTTTTTGTCTGAAAACACTTATTTATATAGCAGAAAAATAAAGTTTACACGTCAATTGGTCGTTTGAAATCGGCCGTTTGGTAAATCGGTCGAAACTCGGAGTATATTTTTGTCACAAGACGTGAATACTGGCTTAAAAACGTTAAGTAGGTACAAACGGACAATAATCAATATAATTATACGTTTTGCAATATTAAGTTGAATAGCGGCGTGTACAAATGTACAACCAGCAGGGGTGGATCTTCGATATTTTGATTGGGGGGCACATATAAATTGTATAATTTTAATTTTAATTAATAGCTAATGGTTATAATAATTATAAATAGGTTTCTAAAGCTGTACATTTTCTTCTATCAGTTCTAATGCAAATAATGATTATAATAATTAATAGTTGGTACTAATAGCGTTTTCCACTACACTGCACTGACTGCACCAGTGCATATTTTTATATTTCATCGACAAGATTAATGTGCACCGAGTGAACTTTTTTATAATAATAATATTTCGTTTTTACGGAAATAAATTCCAATTACAGTTTTTTTCCATATAATATGTATATAATATATTGTTATAATATATTTCACCTCAATGCACTACACCAATTTTTTGCACCCAGTGCAATGATAAACATGCGAGCTCTAGGAGCTCATGTGCGTTATTATTATCATAATAGGTACCCATTAAATATTTTACTATCGTTATATTATGTCAGTGATGAGTATAGATATTGTTTCATCTAAACTTGCACCAGCCCGCACTGACGATTATCAGTGAACTGTACCAGTGATACGTTGGTGCAATAGTGCGGTATGGTGGAAAACGCTATATTATTTATTTTAATTGAATTTTTGATTTATATGATACTCAAAGTTACATAAAAAATTGTCGATAGAAAATTGACAGGGGGCACGTACCCCTGTACTCCTCCCCTGCATTCGAAACTGACAACCAGCATTATTACACATATTATATACCTACGATTATATTAAATTACGATACTAAATATTATCGGATGTCATTTATCCGGAATAAAAATTATATATTTCCTCTATAGTCTATATTGAATTTCAGTTGATTGTGTAGTCTAGTGATATTTATAAAGTTAATACAAAAATACAAAACTAATGATTAGAATATGAATATGAATTGGTGTAATAATGATAATCTTAATAGCTAAAATAATATTATAAGATTACATAGGTTTCATCCAGCTGGACCAGCTGCCTATTATAGTCTACAACATTATTCCACTTAAATAGCTGTTCAAAATAGGTATAGTAATATAGTGTTGTATACAATTTTTAATTACTTTTTTCAAAAAATTATTTTCATTATTGATTATATAAAAAAATTATCTTTTAAATACCTCAAAAAGGTTCATAATATTTTGAAAAAATTGGAACATGTTTTGTGAAAGTAGTTATTATGTACGACGGTTATTCGTTTTTGAATTATAAGTGTATAATATGTATTCCATAAAATCAGCGAATCGATTTAACCAAATATTAAAAATATTACTTGGAATTAACTTTTTATGAATTAACCCTACCACTCAAAAGACTAGATCCAATTGCCACCAAAAAAACACCCACAATGTTGAAAGTTACTTATAAGTTTGTATATTTATACGATACTATAATTGTTTTATAATAATATGATGTTTGAATAATAATATTAATACTTATTACCAAATACCTATTATTTTCATATAGATTTTTAATCAAGATAGCCATCTTTACCAATATCGAAAATACCTAGATACTTATGATACTTATTAGATATACTTAAACTTTTTGGCTGAACTAATAGATTGATCATTTTCAATTAAAACATTTTTACAATATCCAATTAATCTATAATTTTCAATTAATACTCTTTTAAATATTTTATTTACATAAAAATAATAATTAAATTCCTTACATTTTAATTTAATTTGTAGAATTGTTCAAGTAATTTTATACCTGAATAAATATACATATCATATTTTTTTTTAATTATTAGTATGTAATATGTATATACATAATTATTTGTTGGTATTTATTATAAAATATTTTTGCATCATAAGACAGGATTAAAAATAATTAAAATCATAGAATTATTAGGCACTGAAATCTTTAATGCACATTTAAGTATCGCGTTGAATTGAGCTGGTAAAAAATCACTTGCGGTATTTCATATTTAAGCATAACACTATTTTAAATGCAAGTTAAATTTAAAACTAAAAACTCAGTGGTTATTCATATAAACAGTGAACACGAAATGTGGAAAAAATTAAAAGCCTAAGCCCTGAGGTCAATATTATTATTCTCAGCAGGGTTTAAAAAAGAGCCAAATCATTGTAAACGGCGTATGTTTCTTGCACATTTATACTAACTTGGACTATTATTCCGTAATCGCCGTCTGTGAAATGTTCCACGCCTCCAGAACTATAATGCTGGTCAAATCGATGTACTGTGCTGTGCACGCGAAATTTTGGTTTTGTGATTTATTTATAATTTTATACTTACTTGACTGTAGTACATGAAACATGAAGTACACCGTAAATATATACTATATAGGGTACCTACCATACAGTTGACTACACAGACATGATTTCAATAAACGTACGTGATAAAACGTTGATATTTGATAGCAACTAACAACTAAAACTCAATCAAGTTGACTGTCACTAGATGAACTGGCGATCATTTTAGAAATTTCAAATTTTTTGTAAAATACAACATAATAGATGATGTATAAACTATAGTTATAATCATAATTTGTATAGCCACCTAATTGTTAAATTCCAGTGGTTGACTCGTGGGGAGGGACTCGGGGGGACTGAGTACCTCAACTAATTTTGGTTTATTATTTAACTTTAATGTTTGCAGTTGTGGAGCGAACAGGCTGTCAGTTTAGGATTACCGGAAAATTTTATCGATCTCAGAAGACAAAAATTACGTAAACAAGATAGAATTCAACCGTTGATCAATGCTGTACCATCACCAATGTGCATTCCCATAACGTCATCAGGTAATTTTTTCAACTCCTGTATACCTACCTAATATGATTTTATGATGATTTTTCACAGGTTTTATAGGATGGCGTTCTGCGCAAGGAATTTGTAATTTAGAAATGTTTGGCAGGACTTTTGATAACAATAAATTAGATACTAGAATGTTGAAACCGGATAATGAACCCGATCAAAAACAACAAAGATTTATAATTCTAGGATAAATTAATGTTTGTGAAAACGAAGGTTTTAAGGACAATAATAATAATAATAATAATAATACACTTATCACTCATTTCAGTTAGTCAAGTATAAAAATATTTATTGTTTTTTGTGTCAGATCAGACACTTTTTTTTTGATACTTATTATTAGCTATAAACACGGATTAACATCAACTGCAACCATTTATTCTAGGTTCAAAAAATCAAATAACGCCAAGATCTAAACAAAAAAAATCAAATATTATTCACGATGGAAAAAAAAATAAACATGCAAACATAATACAACAGTAATTATAATTTAATATTATAGTTTTTTTTTTTTTTTAACGTGTTTACATTTTAGAAAATGTTTAAACATAATTAGGTTTACAGTRTGAGTGTGTATGTATAACATTTAAATGAATTAATAAATCTATTATTACTGGAGAATATACTGGTGTTTGTAATATATTTAAGATAATCAACTTTAAACAAAAATAAAATAATTATTAGTATTAAAATAAGGTATTAAAGTAATGCTTCTAGATCTCTACAACTTTTATGAAAACAAATTAGGTATTAGGATTTCGATATGCCAAAGTAAAAACACTTTATTAGGTTCAACTAAAGAAAACTTAAAGTCATTAGATGTGTTACCATATGAGCAATGAGTATATAAGAATATAATTATTTTATATATTATACTAAAAACTTTGAATCCTTTCTGGGTGTGAAAAATTAACAGTTAAAAGAGAAAATAACGTATTTGATGTAAAAATGGAGTATTCTAGAATATTGTTTAGTCAAAAATGCATAAACAATATCATAGCCAAATAGGTACAAAAAACTAAAATTTAAAGCCTAAAAATATAAAAAATACATGTTCTATTCGGATGGAAATCGTATAACAACAAATAACTGTGAAAATGAAAAATAAATTAATTCAGATTTGGCTGTTTTCAGTACTTGAATGAGAAATTATTTTTCTACTGTTGCATTTTAATATATTAAAGTAAAAAATACTCAATAGTTATGTGTAATTATTATCTGTTTTTCATATTTTATAATTAAATTGTTCATAATATGTTATTTTAATTCTCTGCTACCACCATTGACACCATTAGTATGTGTTTACATGTTTAAAGATGGTA